AATGTGTTTCAATAAAATAATATCTAACACCATATACTCCCCAGAACTCCAAATAAGCATTCGGTACAAATTACCTGCGGAAACATCCATCTATTCTGTTGAAGCATAGGCATTATACAAAGCAATTTTAATTGCAAAGGAACTTGACTCGTTCAAGTTTGTGATCTTCGTGGATTCGATAAGTGTGCTGGAAGCTTTCGCATCTCCCAATGTACCTAAAGGAAAAAACTACCTTTTTAATCGCATTAAATACAGCCTACAAAAAATGCAAAAAAACAATCGAGAAGTCACTTTGTGGTGATTTTTTGGGTTCCCTTGCATAAAGGTATAGTGGGTAATGAAATCGCTGATCGCGCAGCAAAGAAAGCTACGGTCAATGGTCATAAGCCAATCTTTAGGATCCCCTACGAGGACATTCAAGTCAAAGCAAAACAAGATCTTAATAAAGGCATGATTACCTATTTGGAGGACTCCGCCAAATTCACGGGGGCTCATTATGCCTCTCTCTATAAAACATCCTCCGGCAAACCATGGTACTACAAAACTACATTAAACAGGCGCCAAATCGTGCTTATAAACAGACTGAGAAGTAATCACTACAATTTGAATTACAGCTTGCACAGGAAAAATATGGTTAACTCAGCTGCATGCACCTGTGGCCCGAAACAAGATATCAACCACGTCATATTCTTTTGCCCTCTCACACAGGGAAAGGCTGTTCAGGTATGGAAATATCTCAGGGATCAATTTCCTTCACATTTGCATAACATCTTTTCCTTGCTCATCAATCCGCCTCCGAAACTTTGCCGCTTGCTCCTCTTTCCTCAAGGCGAACGGGCTCACGATTTAAAGTCCCCCCTTATCGGATCTGGCGCGCTGTGCATGCGCAGTACATGTCAGTGCCAGCTCCATCCAGCAGGGGGCTCACCCTGCAATAGTGCAGCACAACGCCATTATGCGGTGTTGGACCTATCTTCAGCACGCCTGACTTTGGAACAAATTGGCCAAGTATACCCCTGCACAGGGGCCACTAAAATGAAAAAGAAGAAGAAGAAGCGCGTGGTGCGTATGCGGAACCCGCGTGGATCGAGAATACCCGAGTCCGCGACGAGTCGGGGCTAGGACCGAGAGTGCCCGAGTCCGTAGCGTGGTGCGGAAGGACCGAGAGTACCCGAGTCCTTTGAAGTACAGGAGGACCGAGAGTACCCGAGTCCTTATAGTCTAGCGGCAGTTATCGCAGCGGCCGGTAAGATCCAAGAGTCCCCGAGAGATCTGAGCGGTTGGTTGCGGACGGGACCTGCAGGCTGACTCGAGGAACGCTCCAGTCGGCTTATATACCCGGCCGGTGTCGACTGTCACGTGTCGTTCGTGTGCAAAGTTCTTCCACCTCTGATGGCGTGGTGGGGTTGCGGTTTCGTTTTTGCTTGGGTACCCGCCGGAGATGCGCGAGCGATGAGAAGGCAGGTTCGCGCACGTGGTTACAAAATGTGTTTTGTTACAATTGAAAGATGAATTAATAGTATTTTTGGTAACATGTATTATATAATTTTTATATTGTAATAGGAAATTATAAAGAAAAGTAACGAAAAAACAAAAATAATATTTTTTGAAGAGAAGAGAGAAGGTAAATCAGTAAATAAGCAGGATAGCATAGAAACCGATGGTGATATAGTTGAGCCTAAAGATGATATCGAGAAGAAAAAAAGAAATGTGAAAGAAAAAAAATTAAAGAGAATGATATAATTTTAATTAGATAAAATTATACAAATTGAGATTTTTACTCAAATGAATACTGTGATTCGTGATTGATTCTTGAAGATACTCCACTTCTCAATATTACGCAAGTATCTATTTCTGTTTACCGTAATTTCTCTATCCTCTAATGAGAAATTTCAAGGAATATAACAATTTTTTTTCTCATTTTAAAACAGATTGCAATATGTATGTAATATTAGATTTGCGAAATGGATTCAAGACCATTTTGTAAAATAAGCCAAATAGGCTTAGATTCTTTAAAGGAACTCAAATCCGCTTCGTAAAATAAGTAAAATATTTTCAAATTTTTAAAAGGGGCTCAAGTTCGCTTTGTAAAATAAGCAAAATACGGTCAGATTCTTTAATAAGGCTCAATACCGCTTCTTAAAAAAGAAATATACGGTCAGATTTTTTAAAGGATCTCAAGCCCGCTTTGTAAAATAAGCAAAATATTGGGTGCTTTCCATTTAGTGACACAAGTCGACACAAACGTCATTCTATCTTTCTCAGCATTTAGTGAGTAACGAAGACAAAGCGATACTTGTGTCGGCTTGTGTGGTCACTAAATGGAAAGCACCCATTGCTAGTTTTTTTAAAGAAGCTCAAGACCGCTTTATAAAATAAGGAGAATACGCTTAGATTCGCGAAATCGACTCAAGACCATTTTGGAAAATAAGCCGAATAGGCTTAGATTCTTTAGAAGGGCTCAAGCCCGCTTCATAAAATAAGAAAAATACGGTCAGATATTTTAAAGGGACTCAAGTCCACTTTGTAAAATAGGAAAAATACGACCTGATTCTTTAAAGGGGCTCAAGCCCGCTTTGTAAAATAAGCAGAATATGCTCAGATTTGCAAAATGGATTCAAGACCATTTTGTAAAATAAGCCGAGTAGGCTTAGATTCTTTAAGAGGATGCTGAAAGGTCGGAAAAATTTAGACGGAGATCGATATAGCAGATTTGTAATTCCAACCGCGCCACGCGCGCCACGCGCTCGTAAGGCGTATGTTAGCGAACTTTCTTAGATCATGTGGTAATGCAGCAAATCGATATCGATCTTATCGACATATTGTTTCGTTCCTGCATTACCACAGCTCAGAGCGTAAACA